ACCCTTTATTTGTTCCTTTCCACATGTTTAGCCAAGATTAAATATTATATAAATCGATGCAAGGAAGCAACAAATAGATATATTTAGAATATCGGTATGCATAAAGAAAAGCGTAGAATATGCATAAATATAAATACATATGTATAAAAAGGACAAGAAATATGTTGGTCTTATTATGCAAGTTATTTTATAGAAAACATGATAATTGTTTTTAATTAATTAACTAAAATTTATTTCAATGAAGCATTGATTTTACCATAATTTTTTGTAACCTATCCATCTATTTTTGATTGAGAACGTGGCTTTATACCGGTCAAGTAATATGTGACGTGAGATTCTAAATATTTTGTCGAGAAACGCTGAACTTTTTAAATTATTTTAGAATTGATCGTATAAATACAATTATATATTCAATTTTACATGCAGTAATATATATGAATATATTAAAAATAATTTTGGTAGAAAATGAAAAATATAATGAGATATATTTATATCAATATAAAAGTTTATAAATATTTGCATATATTATTTATAACAACGCGATTATTTATTAATTATAATTGTGGGAAAAGTTTCTTTTTCTTGGATCTCACGTTATTTATTTCATTTATTTTAAATAGCATTAGTATTAAGTTTTCGGACACTGAGATATAATACATTGTTTAACGGCAATGTCATGAGTACCCTTGGATCAATTTTTACCGAAGTTTTCTCGCACGATTCCACTTCGTATTTGCTCAAGATCATAAGCAGTGCTAACTTTATTTGTAAAAGCCCGAAGCGTTGACCTACAGAACATATAACAGTATAATATTCTATATTATTTTAACGAAGAAGAACTAAAGAAATGTATATTACTATCTTAATATATAAAGAGCTATATTAAAATTGATTTTCTTATCTATACATTCATGTGAGCCTCCTCCAAATGGTAAATAGACGCCTGACGGTCTCTCACGTTTGTTCCTTTTCTTAAATCGCTCTGGATCGAATATATCGGGATTGGGGAAATATTCCGAATCATAGTGTAGGCCAAGTATTGAGATGTAAACCGGTATATCCTCCTCAATTACAAGATCGTACTCCGGCACTTTATACTTTTTCATAGCTATGCGATTTAGGAACCCCAATGGCGGGTACATTCTCAAAGTTTCTGATACCACCATATCGAGATAGATAGATTTTAGTTCACTTTCTCTGACTTAAAATATATTGTCTTTGCATTATAAATTATAAATATGTATAAAATTATATTTAAAAATATATATATTACTAAAAATAATTTGTAAAAATAAAATAAAAAATTTACGAGAGGAAAATAGTGGATGATAGTCACATACCATGTCATAATGTAATTTTCCATTAGATTTCTCGAGTGATTTGAGAAGTTCTTTTCGCAAAGTTTTTTGAATCTCAGGTTGAACCGCGAGTTGATACAACGCAAAGGCCGTAGTCGTTGAACAGGTTTCAAAACCAAATAAGAAGAAACTAGCTGCTTGTGCCAAAAGATCATCGTCATCGAATGCTGAAATTTAATACATCTTTAGAGTTTTGAAAGCTCTCGATACTTATCGCAATTAAATTTGATTACCATTATTATTAATCAAACTTGACGGTTACTCTGATTTTGTCACCGTAAGCCGTTATGTTACACATCTATATTTATACTTATATATAAACTTATATATAAGTATAAATAAAGTAAACGTAATTATTTCGCTTACTAAAGTCTTCAATCCTTTCTTCATAACTACTGTTCCTCTTGAGCTCGATCAGAATATTGGTGAGGTCGTTTCTCTTCTCGCCAGACTTTATGCGCCTCGTCATTATCAACGAGAAAATTTTGCGCAGAAGATCGGTGGCATCTTTATCGAACATTTTTAGTTTAAGTAAACTAATTGCGTTTGAAGGAAGAACATGTGGAGCATCTTATAGCCGCGATTATAATTATCTTCTAACATTCTTTTGCCAAATTCGCTGAAACATGAATCTTCGAACATGTTTCCGTCGAGTCCATAAGCAGTGCTTCAGATCACATTCATAGTTAATTTTGAACTTACATCTATTACATCTATTATTTGTCCATTACCTGCGGTCATATCAACAGTTGATTAAATCCATTTAGCTGTAAATATTATACTGATTTTCGCATTTTTTTCCTGATCAGTTTGTTTCATTTAGTGATTTCGGCGCTTTTGACATGCTTCAGAAAAGTATAAAAAGATACTTGATATTGAATTGATGCACTAGTATCTAGTGCATATTATTCTGACCGCAGGCGTATCGATGTGCAAAAAACAAATTAGTTCTTTCAGCTCTGTAGTTTGTAAGACGTTTACCGGTCTTCTGCGAGAACGCCGCTAGCGGGAGACCCATCATGCCACGCGCCGCGCTTATATAAATTAA